CAACACATAAGTGGGACTTATATTATCGCGAAATAATTGCTGACATATTTCTTGAGATGAGTCTTCATCCCCAACAATAGCCTCTGAAACATGTATTTGATTATCATTTGTTGATTTATAGGATCCAAACGCTTGTCGGATAGCATTAAGGGCTACTATATTATCCTTATCCACTGCAACCACTTTTGTTAAAATTATATTATATATATTATAATAAATATATTTATCTTAAATTTTCAAATAAATAAATAAATAAAATATAAACTTAAAGCTCACACCCGCAGTGATATCTCTAGAAGAAACAGTTCTAAAATTATAAAAAATATTAATATAATTATAAACGAATTCTTCATTTTATTTTGCATTTTTACAACTAATTGTTTTATAATAATTTTATTTAATTTATTGTAAATCTTTCATATTTAGTTATAACTGTAAGTACTAATAATTTTAAGCTATTATAGGTTTATAACAGTTATACAGATAATATTTATAAATCAATAAAATTTACTCAATAAACCTAGACATTGACTTATTTATAATATAGAAGTTATATTTGATTGGTTATAAAGTTGTGACAAAAAGATATTTTTATAGATTTTTCGCAAAATAATTTATTTTATAAATTAATCGGTCGATCTGTAGCTACGGTTACTGTTTTGCTATTTATTTATCACTATTTGTCACTTACTGTATATTATAAATAAATTAAATGTTGTAACCAGAGATTTAACATATATATTGACAAATATTGAATATATTTTTAATGACATAAATTTTATAACTATTTTCAAATATATAAATTTGAACTGGCTAAATCTAAAACTAACACAATGCGTTACTATCATATATCAATAATAATCATTTATTTATATATTATTTTCAATATTTAATAAGTAATTTTAAGCTTTTTTAAAAATAATTTTATTTGTAATTAAGGCTTAAAATTGTCATTTTACAGTATATTTGGTAAACAATAAAGTTTTAAAGATTAACTGGATTAGTAAAATACGATTTATATATGAAAATTTTAACATTTTTATAATACAGTTTTTAAACAATTCAGTTAAAAAACTATTAACTATAAATACAATTAATTTGAGGAAATATTTGTGCGATAAAGTTAGCAATGTTTAAAAATATGTGCGTTTATTGGTATAAAACCATTATTGATATCCGAAATTGTTTTTATAGTTAGACTTAATCGGATCGTAACTAAAATAATTATAATTATCCTTTGAATTATAATTAGTGGTTTCTCTGTTTCCAAACACCGACGGCGCTCTCTTGCCATTTAAGGGTTGGTTGACATTACGGGCTCTGTTAGGATCGCCCCAACCGGCCGGTAATGCTCTACCGTCTTCTGCCTTAATGTTCGGATAATTGAATTGCAATTTAGCGGTATTTCTGTTATTGTTAGTCACCAAAGTGTTGGTAGTATTAATCCATGAGCTGTACAACGATCCCTGATTGACCTTTTGATAAAACAATTTCAATTTATCCCATTTTCCTAATTTTTGTTTTCCATTAAATTGAATGACACCGGCAGTCAATTTGATTTTTTTGTTGCTCTTAAACACTTCACCAAACAATGAGAACAAACCAAACAACAGACCGATTCCAAGTATGAAAAAGCAGCCAATCATGTGAGCCATTCCTATCTTCTTCACGTCTCCAGCCCTTACTTTTCATTCAAACCATTTGTTAGAAATTTAAATCATTTTTTATTAAATATATTTTTAAAAATAGCATTCAATCATACAATATATATATATATATTAATTACTAACCAACTAATGGATACAAACAATCATTGCCTTTCTCTTCAAACTTGTTATTCCACTGTAAGACTAGTCCTGTTTTAGCCATTCGTCCAACTCTTTTGTTTATCAATAATATTGTTAACATTATTATAATATATTATTAAATAACAGATAAAATAAATGAATTTAAAAGAAATAAAGATTTATTTTTACTCGAAATCAAGTCTTTCTTTAAATCCTTTTGGTTCTCCTTTTTTGATGATGAATGAGACGGAACTGGAGAAGACGGCATCCTTTCCGATCATTAATTCACATTTTTCTGTTCGATTAAATTCTTTAGTAATAAGATAGCGAACCTCAGAATCACTGGCGAGGAATACCAGTTCCCCGTTCTTTATTCTTTCATACATTTCTATGGTTCGGTTATCAAAAAATTGTATATTACTGGCTAACTGTTTGAGAGGTCCTGTTTTAGCCGTTTCAATCAACTCTTCCATAGCACCTCCCGTATCGGTACCCCATTTCATTGATCCACTATATGATAACAAGTCTTCAAGATTTTCAATCGGATGTATTATTTTAGGAAACGTTAACAAAGCGACTAAATTTCCACTATAAGTGGTGACCGTCACTATGACAAAGAGCCACCAAAATGTCACTAATATTCTTCCAGATATAGCCAATGGTAAGTGATCGCCTCCCTGTTGAACCATTGCTCCAAAACAATACCAAGCACAGTTAGATAATTTAAACAGACCCTTATTATCTCTCATATTATAATAATCATAGTATTTGCTCGATCTATGAACTATCCATAATAACGGACCCATTAGTACAACAGTAAATAATATACTGAGCCATGCCTTCAATCAACAAATTTAACATTAATAATAAATTATGATTTATTGATACTATAAGATATAGCATTACATCCCAAGTAAATGGTGTGAGGAATAAGTATTTGTGATCTTCACTTGTCTTTTGTAACATCATTGACATCTCTTCGTAATCAAAAGGAAATGTAAAATCTACGGCATCCATGCGGTCGACTGTCCTCCAGTAACCATTTGCACCAATTCGCACTTTACTACGGTTTACTTTATCAATCATCCCGGTCCATACGCCATTTTTCTTTCGACCCAAAGTGATAGACTTTTCCATATCTAATTTAATGGTAAAATTCATCCGTTTTCCCAATATTTTGATCATTTCATATGTTGTTCCCTCGACAGACTTTGGATCGTTTATATCCCGAATCTTTACTAATGGCGGTTGCTTTCAATATAATTCAATAATTATTATAATAGTCAACAATTTAATTCTTATATAAAGTTTCTGTGTATGTATGTATGTATGTGTGTATGTATGTATGTATGTGTGTGTGTGTGTGTGTGTGTGTGTGTGTGTGTGTGTGTGTGTGTGTGTGTGTGTGTGTGTGTGTGTGTGTTTGTTTGTGTGTTATAAATGAAAGTTGTAATACATGAACGATTCCGATTATAATCTCTAGATTCTTGAGATTTCCATCTGAATATCCCAATACCTTTCCCTCCTGAAGCATACCCTTAAATGGTGACCACAATCCTGTTCTCTCAACAATTATCTTGTATTGCGGGTTGTCTTCAATTTCAGTTAAGTCATCTTTGTTTTCATTTTCTGATCCGATTCTATGTTTGTAAAAAGATTGGACAACATATCGATCACAATTACCACAGAATTGAGACATTGATTTATTGGTTCCCATTTCCAACTTAATATAAATTATCATAAGTTATAACAATATAATGATATTATTAGTTGTCTTACTTTCATTTGAGAAATTAATCTGTTTTTACTCTGAGCTTTAACTTGTTTGGTATCATTGAAGTCATAAAATGGTAATTCAATGACCTTTTTGATGGCATTTTTCAAAGTATCAAAAGCTAACTTCATTTGACAGCCTTCTCTTAATTGATTACATTCACTATAAGGCGATACTTCTCTTCTAATAACAGTGACATCAGTGACACCCAATATATCTGACATACGTTTCCAGAAATCAGATGAATCGTCAATCGGTTCCGAGAGTACAACAATCCATTTTAAAGGATTATTCAGTAATGACCGCTCGTAAGCCAATGTAATAATCTCTTCAACTGTTTTACTGTTTCCTATAACAACAAAATATTGCAATGATTTGTCGTTTTCAATTAAATTTATTATTTGACTGCTATTGAAGTCTGTCATTAAATTAAGTTTTAATTTTTTGTCGTTTAATTCATTGTTTGTAATGCCATAAGTGGTAACAGTTGTCGCTTTAATGCCAACACCTGACACTTCTTTCAATCCTTTGTTTAAGTCGTCTAAAGTTTTTGTGTCTAAAATATTTGGCATAAAATTTTAAAATAATTATTACTGTATATAATATTATGCAATAGTATATATACTATCTTCTAGTAATCTTATAAAATGGACAATAAATAAAGAAAAAACCTAAAGTTTGATCGTGTATTATATTGATGTGATCCCAATCGCTTAGCATATCATATCTCATGTCAACCATCAGTGGTATGATATCATTGATCGATGACATCACTTAGTTATAAAAATACAATAAAAACAATAATTTGTATTATTTAATACTCTATTTCTAAGTTGTATTCACCTGGAAATCCAATGCCCTGGTCTGGTAGGGGACGCATACAGTTGTTCTCAATAATAGATAAAAGTAAAGTTTCGGGACAGTTGTCTCGTAATAATGAGTACAGTATTTTTGTTTTTGAACATTTCACAGCACTTATAATAACCATTAAGTTTTTACCTTAATTTTTAATATGTATACAGGTATTAGAAATTTGTCGTAAAAAGTATTTTAAATAATATTTTGTTTTATTTTATTTGAGAGAAATTCATAGTTTTAATAATATGAATAATTATTTTTAAACAAATAAAATGTTAATAAATAAAATAAAACTAATATAAGATGAAGAAATCAGATATAATAATATGATATAATAAATAAACGAAAAAATTTCTTCTGAGATTATTAATTAAGTTTAACATAATTTTAGTAATATTTAGCTCATATTAAATATTTATATTACTATTTACATTTACAATAACTTTTCAAAAAAAAAACATTAAAATTTCAGAAAATATCATAACATAAATGTTAAAAATGTTTGAAAAATTTCTGAAAGTTCAAAATGACAGAAGAAAAGGAAATAATATTTGTATTGATTTAACATTTTAATGCCTGTATTATGAGAAATACTGGAAGTTATACATTATTTAAATAATTTTGATAATTTGGTTAATAATTTATTTATACATTAATTAATATAATTAGAATATTTATAACTACTTATTGATATCACTTATTCATATGTTATTGTATTTCTTTTATTAGATTAATGACATTCAATAAAGATTATAGTAATACATACATAATGTAATAATTTATGATATATAAATAATAATTATATTAAGTGTCAAAATTATTTTGTTGTCTTATCTGTGTTAATCTCAAACTCAAAAACTAGTATTTTGTGTTAAAATTTTCAAAAATAATACTAATTGTAATAATAAGAAAATAACTTACAAATTGTTGGATCGTTTTCGACATCATTTTCAAAGTCAGTAAAGTCTGAAATAATTTGTGTCTCAATTGTTACGTTATGGACAAGTTGTTGGCGAAAATCATTAATTAAGTCACTAATGGTTTCATTATTAATAGCCTTTAGAGTAGCACTATTATAGTCCAATAGTAGACCTATAATATTCAGTTTATTAAAATGTAATTAATAAGAGTTACATTACATTAATATTTAGTTAATAAGATTAATAAGTTATATAAAACTTAAAACGAACCCAATCTTAGTGTTTGTGGCGTTGAGTTTAAGCAATAGAAAAGTTGTTGAAAATATAATATAAAAATAACTAAATTGAATTGTGATCTCATCTTATCTATAGATAATGTACCCTGGACATAATGTGCCACTTTCTCACTTAATTAATTTTCATCAAAATTATTTTACAATAAATTTATAATAAGTTTTCTAAAGTTGTCTTAAAGCCCTTGAAATACATTAAACACTTGTAGACTACTATATGTAATTGAGTAAAGTATAGCCGTATATATAATTTGATCTAAACATACACTTACAACACTGACATTCATATAAATAATCCATAAACACATATATTATGGTTCATATCGTATAAGTTATGTGAAGAAATCAATAAATATTTGTGTGAAAATGTTTGTAATATTTTATTTTTTTTCTAATAAATTAATTATCATTTAATAAGTTTGTTGTTATGCCAACATAAATGAAATCATTCATCACAACAATCTTAAGGTAAGCACTGATAGATACATATCTATTAATAAAACAAATTTTTAGAATATATGGTTTAACACATATTATTGTATTGATTTTTAATAAAGTTATGACATTATATTGATTTATAAATACTACATTATATAGCTATTTTAAATCATATTAAAAAAATATTTAATATTTAAAGAATAGCATAAATATATTTTTTTTGTCGATATAAACTAAAAAGATAGAAATATTATGATTTTATTTTTAAAAATAATAGATTTATTATTTGGTTAAATATTAATTAATTAGTTTTTTTATTATTTCAATTATAACATTAATTATAAATGAATAAATAGTTTTATATATAAATCTTAGTCCCCATAGTTTGACCAAATTCTCTCTTCAGTCGACCCTTTAATTTGATTTGTTTGACAGCTCTTATCCATAAAGCAACCGACTATTCATATAAAAAATGTTATAATTAAATATTTATTAATTTCTTTATATAATCTTATGATTTACCTGAAGTACAACACGTCGAGTCCAGAGCACAGATACCTTTTCCGTTAGCACATACCTTACCCTCATTAAAACAGGGACGAGGAGTATAATCTTCAGTAAAGCAAACGGCAGTATACTTATTATTAATATGACACCCAATCGATGCACCACAACATATGGATGGACCAAAACAACGGCCCACTCCTGACGGTCCACAACGAGTACACTGATATCCAATTCAAGTGTTAATAAACTATATTTTATTTTTTCTCGCAAATCTTAAGAACAACTTTTTTTTATTACAAATTAATTGCTAAAAATCATCGGCAAAATTGTCAATCGAAACATAAATCGAAAATAAAAGTTATTATATATATATATATATATATATAATAACTTTTATATTTTATACAAATTATTAAAAATTAGTTAGTTGTCTATTTATAGTATACCTATATAGTATATGTAAGTGTTACATATGTATGTATTAATAATTTGGCTTAAATTAAATAATCATTTTTAGTTTTTGTTGCTGTTATAAAACAATAAATTTGTGAATTACCTCATAATTTAAGTACAATATAGTAAATTAGCAAATTACAGTTTATATTCAATAAATATGAATATTTTAAATACTAAAATTGGAAAAATCTAAATAATTTTAAGTTTTTTACACAATTATTTTGAAAAATGTCTGAAATCTTTAGAAGAAAACCTTAATTTCTATAGTATTTTACATTAGATTTTCACTTATATTAATATCTGTAATAAATCTAATTAAACAATACTTACTTGTCTTTTGGGACTTTCCGGTGCCAGAGATCGTTTACCACCGGGAGGACAGTTAGTTATAAAGCAAGCATATGTTATGGCCAACGACACTATAAATAAACTAACAATTGTAAGAATTTTTTGTAAATTCATTTTTATTAGTTTTCTTAACAAAATTTTATTTTATTTATAACAAACCAAATAACAGAATAATCTTAGAAATGCTTCATTTGATGATAAACTTAGTTTATATACTCATCTAAACGGATCAGTTATGCATAAACTGATCCACTTCTCAATCTTTATTCATCTAATCGTTAAGTATTATTTGATTGATGTCTATATTATCACCATTTGGTATTCACAAAAGATTAGTTGTAATGTGAATAATAGCACAAATAAAACAATTTCTCATTTTTGTGTTATATCTCACATTATATCAGTCAAACAGTATATATTGTGTGTCTATAAATATTTTTATGGTATTTATGTACTAAAAATAAAATATATTATCGATGATATGAAGCCCACACAATAGTGAACTCAGTTTATTTTAATAAATTATTTTTAAATATTATTTAAAATAAGTAATAAATATAATTAATATATATATTATAAATAAAAAGCTCTTTATATAAAGTTTTTTTTCATTTAAATTTATTTTCGTTTACAGATAAATCAAGAAATGGAATTATAGATGAATCGGATGTCATTTCTTGTAGAGAAACTCTTCTTTTGAATTGATTGTCGACATGTCTTTGTCTGAGAATAGATTTTTGGCTTAACTTAAGATCACTAGTTCCTGAAGTGACCGTAAACTTGATAGCTGTTCCATCATTAATATCAAGACTATTGAGACTAACAGTACTGTTTGAGAATATCATCGAAGACTCGAGTGTTTCCTGCATTATGGCTGCCTGTTGTGTGATGTCCGCCAAACTGGACCGAGTGCTCGGACTCGGAGTGTGTGGCGTACTCTTTGCGTGAGGAGAGACAGCACTGGGAATGTCTTCACAACTATTATGACGACTAGCAGGAAGACTAGTATATTGTCGGGAAAGAGCACCCACTTTGTCGTCTATTGTCTTTCGATGTGCTTCTATGAGATCACATGCCTGTCCTAATAATACTATATTGACAACCAATTTGAAACTCACTAAACTATTAAATTTTTATTGATATATAATTAAATTTAATATTACGTTAGTTTAAAATTTTTAATAATATATTACCACAGATATGATACAAAAAGGCAAACCAAACCATACCAACAGTTCAAGTGAAAAGATCCGCTCATTATTCTAATGACTAACACTCCCAAAGGTAAAGGAATAAAACCCATTCTTCGAGATATAAGATCCGAATGATCTGAAAATGCCTATAATTTCGTTTTTAAATAACTTTATTATAAATTAATTAATTAATTTCTTAAACTTACACTTTTTAATTTACTGGACGCCAAATCATAAGCTAAACTAATAGCATATTCTTCGTAGACTTCAAACGAAATTTCATTAAAACGCGTAACGAATGCGTGTTTAAACCAATCGACAAATATTTCGGCAATAAATACAAGCAAACAATCGGGAAATAAAATCCAAAATTGTTTTTCACTCCAATTATATTCTTTCATTGTTTGTATGATAACTACAATTAATAAAATAATATAATGAAAGCGTTCCCTAACATCACTACAAGACATCTGAAAAAGATTTGTCTTTTCAAACTTCTTGAATACCATTCCTTTAAGTTCAACAAACTTTATTAATATAATAAAAATAATAATTAATAATATTATAAAAAATATTGTGAATTATAGTAACTTTAAAATAAATAATTACATTATTAGACATCATGACTGTAAGCAATGCTTTATTTTTTGAATTGATGGCTACATTCAAAGTGGTGGCCTGTAGTAGCACAAGTAGACTATGCATGACTTAATAAATTAATAATCAATTAATGCATTAATAATTAGTGTCAATAATTATTATATAATATATGGACTGACAAACGTAAGCTATTGCCATAAAGAGATGAGGTATGACTCCGAGATGTTCCCTCTTTTTGCCTCTCGGCTCATTGGCTGTCCAGAACAGGGCATCTAAGATGTCCTGACCAAATGACGACAACAACTTGTCGGCAACCTATCAATTAATCTTATATTACTATCATTTCAATATTTATAATAAAATCTATCATTTTCATCAATAATACTATTTGAAAATCAATATTTTTAACGAAAATTAGTTTTAAAAATTCAGATTAAATTCTGTTAAAATTAAAGTATTATTGATAATAGCTAAACTTTAAAAAAATATAATAGTGTAATACTACCTGTATAATTTACTCTAATATTTATTTTTCTATCAAAACATTATTTTTTATTTTCACTAAAACTTTAATCGTATTTAAAAATAACTTATTTTAATCTAATAGACAATTTCTGGTTGGTAATACAAATAATTATATTTTTATCGATTATTTATTTTAAATAACTATATACATGTATATTGCTTTTAGCAAATTTGAAAATTTAATTATAATGCATTTTTGCCAAACAATTATAAGGCATTTTCATTAATATTACTATTTAATTGATAGATCGGCTCAAGATAAACATTTAAAAAAATAATAGTACTTGAATAACAACAAAACAAATAATTATTTAAATCATTATTCAATTTCTATGACTAAAATCTGAGTAAATTTTATTTATTATTTATTAACAATTTTTAATTTTGCTTATATTTTAATTATAAAATGCCCTCAATATCATTAAATAATAAATTATTCTTAAAATAATCTAAAAATATAAGTTTTGACTAAATTCTGACTTTTTTTAAAAATTAAATTTAAAAAACACTTATTTTCTATTAATTAAGTGTAAGTTTGGTTCATTAATAAGTAAAATTTATTTAGCAATTCATTTGAAACAAAATAATAAATACTATAATTATAAGCCATATAAAGAGTACATACAATAACTAATAAAATTTATTTTAATGATCTATATATGGAAACCAGATCTTAATTTTTTCAATCAGATATGCAACTAATTTGAGAGTTAGATAACATTGAATTTAAAATATCAGTTTAAATATGTAAACTGTATGTACGCTTTGCAAATTAAAATCATTTAGGGGTGAGAGACAAATATATAAAACCCACAAATAATTTAAACAAAGATTTCATTTTCTAATTAAAATTAATTTTCAATATCAAGGTTTTGTATAATATTATTAAATTAATAAAATAAATAAATTATTTAATACCTCTAACATATTGAAGAAAATGTAGAGTTTGATAACTGATTGGCTTTTAATAATGTGGTAAAGCATTGAAGTGTCGATATAACTCATGAGGAATACACCACTCAATACAATAACACCTTTCATAAGATCACAGATTTCTGACGGTTCTAATCCTTCCAATGGTTTCAATGGACCCGTCATTTGCCACGACTGACCGTTCAGTAAACTAAGTTAACAAACATTATATAATAATATAATACAAAACATATTATCAATCAATTCATACCAAAACCATTTGTTGAAAGATCTTGTAATTAGAAACCAAAGCGAAAGTGCAAACCGTATGGGAAGTAGAGTGAAGACAAACAGAAAGGCGTCCACACATTGAAAGAATCCGTAACACAGAAACTGTTCATCAAATCAAATGTTAGTATTAAGTGATAAAAGATTTTTGACTCAAGAATTACTTTTTCCAATTGCAAGGGAATCCTTAAGAAGATATAGAACTTCTCTCTTCTTTCTTCATATCTTTGTTCGTCATTTTCGAGGACATAGTTTCGTCTTAATTCACTTCTTAAGTAATCAAATAGATATCCAAATTCTAAGATAACAAAAACAAGACATTAGTTCATCAATCAGTTGTTGACAATGTAGTCATCATATACTGACTGAACGGTACATCTTTGCTATTGTTCTGAGTTTTTATAACTTTATTATTCATTTGAAGATAATTTGTGTCATTATTTAAGTCATTATTTATAAGTTTTCTGTCAGTCATTGGTATGTCATTTGGTCTCTTGTCATCACAACCTAAGACATTGTGAACGGCATTCCTCAGCAGTTCATTGTTGGTAACATTAATAACAATGTTTTCTTTGTCTTCACCGATGTCTTCATGTGGTATCAAATGTGATATATTATCCATAATTGATGTCAAAACTCAAGTCTATAGTCAACGTAATCACAGATATATATAGAGTATTGTATTTAATATTATTTAATGTAAACATTGAATGCTTTAAATCACTGAATATTTTGTCATTTGTTTGTATTATTGCTATTCATTGATAATAGAGGTCTGTATTATACAGTATTAGTGTATTGTCTAAAATATACAGTAATATTAAGTTTAATACAGTATTTATTGCATATTATTATACTTTATTTATTATAGATTTATCTTTAATTGTTAATTATTTATATACTTATTAATTGTTTGTTTTTAATCACAATTAACTACAAAATAGCTTTAAATACTATAAAAATGTGTTTACAATGAATGCAATGCAAATGTTTATTAAAATTAGTAAACAACATTATAGTGATTAAAATGTTGTAAAAATATCATTAACTAATTATATAATAAGTTATTTTAACAAAATTGTAATTTATATTACTAATATATCTTTTCTTATTTAAATTAAAATCATTAACAATAAATCATTTATTTAATAATACAATCGAAAATTGTGTAAAATAACAATAGAGTTAATAAATAACACATAAATTATAATAAATGCTTTGTTGAATATATTAAATATTAAATATTTGCTTAATTAACAAAATAGTTTACAAACAAAACCGTTTAATTTTAATTAAATTGCATTATTTTTATAAATAATACAAATATTTTTTCATTTATATTATATAATATTAAATATTTGGTTATTTGTTAGCAATTCACACGAAATTTAAGTTTTTAAAGAGATTTGGGTCAGAATAATGTGTACTGAATTTGAAGTCAATAGTTGTGAGAACTTTACTTTTGTGGCCATCAGTCACATCACATCATATTTATTATTAAAGTTATAATATTTTTATAATAAGTTAAATATCTTAATAAAAAAATTCTATTCTTATATTTTACAGAAAATATTATATTTTTATATTAAGACATTTGAGAAACAGTTGACACATAAATACTATATTTTTATTTATACAGCGATTAACTTAATTATTAAGTTTAATAAACTCTTGTGTGTTGATTAAAATAAAACTTATGTGATATTAATACTATATTAACATCATTTTAGATTATAATATACTAGACATGTTGTATAATAAGTAAAACATTACATAATACATGTTTTTATTAAACTTTCAAATAATAATAATAAATATGAGTGCATGACTTAAATTTTTACGCAATCAACGCAATTTAAATAACACCGTATTATAACATTATTAATTTAAGTCATGTTAAACAATATTTAATATACAGTTCTAAATGTTTATATGTTTTTATGTTTATATCAATTTTTAGATTTGTTTGCAAAATTCATTTAATTTAAATTTAAGAATTTATCACTAATTATTTGAAACTATAACATAATGTGGGGATTCTCTACTTTTTATTGATTTAATTCATATATTAATAGTAATAATTAATTAATTATTAATAATTTTATAAATTAATATATATAAATTTCAAACAAATATATTTTGTAGAATTATTAGAATTATTATAGAATTATTTTTTGTATCACATGTAATAACTTTATAAAAATGTCAATTATATTGTAGAAATAATTTAAGTTTAAATACATTAATTATTTTTATATTTCCATTAAAATTACATAGTTTTTTAAAATGAAGAAATGTTTTTTAAAAATACTAAGTTTTAAATTTCAATACATTTTATTTTTTCTTAAAACTAGTTTTTATAATGTAATCTACTTTTTAATTGTAATTTGAAATTTATGATTTACTCCTAATTTATTCAATATATATTACAATATACTATATAATATTGTATATTAATTTAAATGCTTTTTTGAAGGAAATAATATTTTAGCAAATTTATATTTATTGAGAGAAAAATGACACTATTTAACTTTACATTAAATAACTTATTGCAAAATATTATTTCATGTACTCATTTACTTATAATTACAATTATGATGCTATTTGAGTATACAATTATGAGAAAAAATTTAAATCTAATTGTATCAAATAAATTTTATAATACTTATTATATTGTAATATTATATAATAAAACTGAAAAAATAACTTATTATTTTTTGAATAATAATATACTCAATTGTAAAAATTATAATTTTATTAAATTATAATATATTGTAATTTATATTCAATAATTCATTTTATAACAAACATTTAAATTGCCAGAAAATAGACACACCTTTTATGTAATGTATTGTTTAATCAGAATTTTATTATTTCATAGGAAATACATATCCGATGTGATGACAAATGAAGCATTTGTTTTACTGTTCAATAAATTTTTGTATTAAATTAACCCAAATTGTTGTGTGAAAACTATGTTTTATTGTGTTATTTATTCAATTCAAATATAGCAATAAAATTTAGATTTAAATAATAAAAAGCATTATTTTTGTTGTTAAGAACTAATGCCAAAACTTCCTTCAAAGGACATTGTGATCAAGTGGTCAAATGATCACATCCTTCAATGGCTTTACAAAGTATTTTAATATATATTATAATATAATTGGATAATTGGTTATTAGATAAAACTAATAATACTTGAAATAAAAAAATATAATTAAATTAATTAATTAAAATGATAAATATGAAAATGTTATTTGAAATGTAGGAGGATTTACACGATTGCATTGAAGCCTTCAAAACTAGAAAAATAACGGGCGATAAGTTTCTGGTAAGACATCAATGCAATTATTTTTTTAAAATTTTTACATTCAATTATTAATTCAGTCTCAAGGATAGCAATTTAGGATTTAAATCATTTATTTTTTATAAATTTTTTTATTATTATTATCTGATATATACAATAATATTATTGTCTTAATTGATGCCATAGCGGCACAATTAATAGGTTTGTTTAGATATTAACTTAAAACTAATCAATTGATATGTTAGACACAAATGTGTTTAAATTGAATGCCTTTAGGCAAACATATACAATATTTACAGTATTATATATATCATAGTAGACAACCAGTGACTCATTGAATCTCATTTCCTATTTCAGGATTTGAGCGATGATTTGGTCATTACATTCAGTGAACTCAAAATTATTAGAAGAAGGTAAGCACCGGTAGGCCTACCAATTGGTCTATTAATTTATTTAAGATATTAATTAGTACTTTAAAAATATATTATTTAAATGACATTACACTATACTTTGAATAATTATTTCCAATAAAAGTTTTTACTTTAAAATTTATATAATTTAGACTTTATTGGTTTTTTATGATTTATATTACAAACAATAGTACACTGAATACTTGGTTTAGTTTGAAACTAAAAACTACATTAGATATTATGATGTCATTATAACAAACAATTGACTTTTAATTTTCACATTTTGGAAATTACTCTATAATTTATATTTAATTTGATTTTTTATTTGTAATTCTTAATGAATTATAAAACTTTGAATTTATTTTTAAATTATTATTTAATATATTATAAAGCAGTACAATTGCAAAATAATATGTTGCTATAAATTATGCTTTATTTATACTTAATTATACAAAACATTAATGTTATATAAATATTAATGTAATGTTTTATACTTTATGTTATATAAATGTAAGACAAATTATGAAATAAAGGTAATTCACATAAATTTAGATAAAATATTTTTTAATTTAGGAAATATTTGCATAAAAGTATTGATAAAATATTTTAATTGCATTCAATTTGTTTGAATTAATACAGTATTAATACATATATTGTATTTACGGAATTAGTTTCAAATCTACAGATAAATGAATTATAAGTATTACCAACTGATACGACATCATAAACTTAATCTTATAATTATATACGAAATTAAATATACATTTATATACAGTATACGTATTACGTATGTGTGTAATACTGTATATGTGTGAACAATTTTAATAATTTACAAATATTTATATACATTATAAATACAATATTACATACTGTATATACATTCTGTAGTATACAGTATAATACAGGTATACATTTGGATATAATTTATTTGACTGTATTTAATGAAATATACTTTTAATGAAACGACGTATTTATGAACTATAACTTAAATATAGTATTTTATGATAACTTATATCATACATAAAATGTGGTAATAATAATGAATACCAAGTTTAATGACTCGGTTAATGATTTTACAGTTATGATTTAATTATTCATTAACATTATATCTAAATATAATATTTAAACATATTAGGTTTTGACGTAACAACAATAAATATAATATTATTATTTTAGTTTAACTATTAGTTTAACGTTAATTTGTTGCTAAATTTTTGTTAATACTATGCTCTCATTTAAATGGATATTTATTTATGTCTTACAAGTTTATAAATTATAATTATAAATACAGTCCATATTATATAATACAAACTATACTAACAGTGCAAAGAAAGTATAGTTAATTACAGACAAAACACTTAATTTATTAAACATTTAGACAATAGAGTAAAACAAAAGTGGAGCACAAGTTTCATAACCAGAACCCACTTCAATGGGACGGCCCTATCATTACATAAATTTATGTTTTTATAACAAAAGTTATGAAAAAGTTTGATTTACTTGAGATATGAGTTATAAAAATATATTAATATAACATATCGAGTGATTTCTTTTAACTGAACCCAATAATAGTTAACTACAATATAATGTTATATATTTGTTTGGCATTCAGGTTACACATCAATGCAATGATTATAATATAGACAGAGATGTTGTATCGATATTACGGCAAATGTGGTTATAATGAAAAAACGAGTACAAGTTATACAACAATTGATAGAGTATTGACTATAGCATAATGTAGTGTCGGACAGTCAGATAGAGAGCTAAAAAAGTTTTTAAAGTAAAGTTACCTTAAATTTAGTTGAATTGAAAACACATCATTGAAAACCACTTTTTCTTAGCCAGTAAGGCGAGTATAAAGTACTGTATATACAGTACAACATAGGCATATAAGAGAGGGTCATATGCTTTCCCCTACCCGTGCAACTCAATGTAAGTACATTTTGCAAACAAACTACACATTCCTAACACTTATTCCACGTTTTA